TTTCCTTTCCGTTCTTTCTTTTCCTTTAATTTTCTTTTCCGTTTCTTTCCCTTTCAATACATACAAACATTATATGTTTATATTTCATTTGAAAATGATAATTAGCCATCTCATATGAGGTCTAATCGATATTAGTGTCTTCACACCATTAATTTGAATATTTGATTTATGTTTATATAATTTCATTCATGCTAAAACTAGCTTTAATATAAATGATGTTTAATATCTGCATCTATCTCTCTCCCTCTGCACTTGCTCTCATACCATACAAAGCAGTTATTTACTTATTTTTTTAATTTTCATTACTTTCGATTGATTACCAATTTGTTATTCCTTAACAGTTTTCTATTATTTTTTTTGAAATTTCCATTTCTTTCATGTACCTTTCTTAATTGGCAATCATCCTGAAATCCAACGTGGCAGTTGTCGGACTTCTTTCTAAATTGTGTTACTTCACTGCCATAGGCCGGTCTCACTATGATTATGAGATGTTTGATGATTGCATGATATCCCTAATTATACATATACACAATATTGATTCACAGTGCTGGTAGTTTACATATGTAAATATGAAAAAAAAAATGTTGGTCGCAATCTTGATATCCTATATGGCAGCCATCTTGAAATTCAATATGGCGGCCTTCTGACATAATTTCTGATATCTGCATGATACAGTCACGGATATCGAAAACACGAGTAGAGATCTTTGACAGTGCTAGGTGTTGTAGATATGACGACATTTACAACATTATCAATAATTAATTTGACGGCCATGTTGAAATAGCATGGCAACAATCTTGAAATTAAATGGTGGCATTCTGACATAATTTCTGATGGCTGCATGATAGTCCTTGATACCGAAAACATGGGTAACGGTCTTTGATTGACAGTGCTAGGTGCTGTAGATAAGATATTGACAAAAATAGCAATAATTTGGCGGCCATCTTGTAATCCAATATGGCGGCGCCATCTGACATAATTTCTGATGATTGCATGACACTCCCTGATGTTGAAAATATGGGTAATGATCTTCAGTTGGAGTGATATGTGCTGTAAATATGAATACATAGGCTAAAATTAATTATTTTGGCGGCCATATTAAATTTCAAGATGGCGGCCATCTTAAAATTTAATATGGTGGTTTTCTGACATAATTTCTGATGGCTGCATGGTAGTCCCTGATATCGAAAACATGGCAACGGTCCTTGATTGACAGTGCTCACTGTAGATATGAATATTGATAAAAATATAATTAATCTGGCGGCCATCTTGAAATCTAATATGGCGGCGCCATCTGACATAATTTCTGATGATTGCATGACACTCCCTGATATTGAAAACATGGGTAATGATCTTCATTTGGCAATGACATGTGCTGTAGATACGAATATATTGGCTAAAATCAAATATTTTGGTGGCCACATTGGATTTCAAGATGGTGGCCATTATGAGGCGTTATATTTTGGGGTCTATTTTTTTTTAATGATCTTTAGGTGTCATAGTATCACTGTGGGAAGTTTGATGCTTTCTTCCAGAAGTGCACGATTCCACCAGAAATTCAACATTAGCCGCTGTACTATTAGTGACTGTTCGCTTACTATCAGGTAGGGGTAAACACCCGCTACATTTGCATAAGTACAATAATTAAAACACAGAGCAGTTTGTAGACCAATAAATCAGATATTATTTCTCGCTACATCTTCACCCGACCTGAACCATGAAAGTGACCGTACTTCTACATTACCTGAGTCAACGCAGCGTCATAGAGTTTGCATGCTTCATTGCTGGTAGATGACAGACTAAGACCAGTATCCAGCCATGCCTATAAACATAAATAACAAAATTGACATGTCAAAATATATTATTAAAATATGTATTATTATTATTATTATTATTATTATTATTATTATCATTTTAAATATTATAGAATACAGCTTTAGTAATTAAACGCAGTGAAACTCTTTGATCTAGGTTTGTGTCAGCAGTATTTTGTGAACTGAAAAATGGTACGCCCTGATAGAGTTCATATTAATGAAAACTACCACCACCAATGCTCAGTTTGAAAGGCTGAAGCAGAAAATGATTAGACAATTAACAAATTTAGGTCACGAGAGAAAATGCTGAATATATGATGAGAGAATATTTAATGGGTAAAAAACATTATATCAAGTTTAATTTTTAAAATAGACGTCAACAATTGCATAGGCGTAGATCACGGGAGGGGGGAGCAGGATATATCCCCCAATATTTGACAAGGGGGGATGGTCCATTGTATCATCCCCCCAATATTTTGACTATCTATGGGATAAAATGGAGCCTGTCTCTTATACACATCTAGATGTGTATAAGAGACAGGTGCTAGGTGTTGTAGATATGACGACATTTACAACATTATCAATAATTAATTTGACGGCCATGTTGAAATAGCATGGCAGCAATCTTGAAATTAAATGGTGGCATTCTGACATAATTTCTGATGGCTGCATGATAGTCCTTGATACCGAAAACATGGGTAACGGTCTTTGATTGACAGTGCTAGGTGCTGTAGATAAGATATTGACAAAAATAGCAATAATTTGGCGGCCATCTTGTAATCCAATATGGCGGCGCCATCTGACATAATTTCTGATGATTGCATGACACTCCCTGATATTGAAAACATGCACACATTGGCGCTAACACCATTTATTTTCCCGGTTAGGAATTTACCATACCCACCCCACCCCACTCCCCATATAGAAAACAATACGACATAGGGCTTGTCTTATTTATAATATTATAGGCCACACATGTGTGTTTAAAACTAAATATAAGCATTTTCATCATGGTTTTATTTATTACAAACATATTCTTTCACCATCAATACACATCGAGGCCCTTCTTTTAGGTTAAAACGATCTATCTTAAATTTGTCTTTCTTTAGTTTGGGACTATTATGTGTTTAAATAACTCTAAAAGCCATAAAAAATGCGCGCGAAGCGCGCAAAATATTTTTGTGTTTTTATTTCTAATTTCGTCGGAATTGATGAAAACTCCCTAAAATGTGCAATTTATAGAGGAAATTGGCCTACCGTAACAAGAAATGCGCGCAAAGAATTTGAGAATTTTACGCACTTTCAGAGGATGCATTTGTCAAGGGGTGGGGAAAGATTTTCCAAAGATGGATATTTTCCCCTTGTCCCCAGGTGTTTTTAAATCTAATTTCATTGGAATAGATCAAAACTCCCTAAAATGTGCAATTTTTAGAGGAAATTGGCCCATGTTAACAAGAATTGCGAAATTTGAGGTTTTTAGGCACTTTCAGGGGATGAAAAGGGCATTTATAAAGGGGTGGGGAAGATTTTCAAAAGATAGATATTTTCCCCTTGTCCCTCAGTGGTTACACCATCGGGCAGCACAGATCAAAGGAGTTATGACAGTTTTTGAAGTGGAGAAGGGGTTGCAGGGTGTTGTGAATCTGGTCATAATGATATCTTCCTTTTTATTCTTGTCTTTATTTTTCTCTTTTCTTTTTCTTTTCCTTTCCTTATCTCTTCCTCTTCTTTCTCTTTCCCTCCCTCTCCCTTCTTTCTTTTCTCTTATTACCCAGCCCGGTACGACGGCTTGGTCAGCCCGGTAAAAATACATCCCTTTATCATATAGGACTCTGTGGTGTACTGATATGACCTACTGATACGACACCGAGATACCCCCCCAATGAAAAATACTTTTCTACGCCACTGCTATCTTGTAGTGAAGTGTGGAAAACAAATGAAATAGTCCGATACTATTTTTGGAACGAGAGGATGGGAAAAGTCTATATACTATAATACGTCTAAGTCTTATATTCTCACCTTAGAATCTCTCCAATGAGTATGTTTAGCCATACGAGCTTTGTTTTATTCCCAATATGTCTTGTAGGCCTATTTAAAAATAAATCCGCACGTAGGTGACAAGTTGATTGGTATACTGAAACTGATGGCAACTGAAAAAATATGTATTTAAATTAGGTTATATATTTGAATATATGTCTCTTATGCCTAATATATGGACCTATAGTCTTAGTTAATATAATGTTTTCATCATTCACACTATAATTATACCACATAGGCCTACATGAAGGCCTACCACAAATCCTGATTTAACGTGAGGTGTTATTCGTTGACACGATAACTTTGCTACAGATAGTACAGATAGTGTAATTAGAACCTGTTTTCTAATGAATTCAATATTGCACAAAGGTATCCTACCAAGCTATCAATATAAAATAAACTGAGAACGGAAATAACAATATCTAAGCTTTGAAGCTAGCTCACTCCACCACCGATAATCCTGATAAGATTCTGGACTGGGTACAAAGGTATTAAATTGCATTAAAATCACAACTAAAAGCAAATGAAATAATGATCCGAACTGATTTATCTACGAGAGATATTGAATTTGCTAGTAAGGATGTGTCCACAATCCCAATGTAGGCCTATCACATGATTCAGCCAGCTTGTGCTTCAATCAAAGCACCAGTATTCACCATCCCAAAGTTTCAGATAAAACTCATCCACAAAAACGATTAGTATTGTCTTGTATTCTACTTACGAAGTCGTTATTCGCACGGTACAATAACCTCTTCCTTCTACTTATATAAACTAAATCCACATTAGCACCACCACTGATTATCCACTGACCTTGATCGTTTACAATGATAGTGGGCGCTACACTATATTGACAAAAGTACATCTATCCTATTTTCTTACTATATAATTTTTTCTTCACAACTTGGAATAATTAAACAGTAAATGAATGTTTATGAGTGTAATGGGAAGAACATGTCCATGAGTTAAAACATGACTATTCTATTCAACGATGTTGAACCTAGTTGAATGGAACAGTTCCATCTTTTATAAAAATAAAAAAAGTCTTTGAAATTGCATGAATAAAAGCATTCATTATTCCCTTAATTATACATAATAGATTCTTGTTATTTTATATTTTATGAAATGAAACTTTCTTCTTTTCTTTTGAATTCACCAGTTCATCTTCGTTCAACGAATAAAACCATTGTAGGTGTGATAAAACAAAATGAATGCACAAAAATTTATGGAAATGGTACCAAATTACACAGAGGGTAAAGTTGCATTTAACCCGAATCCGAATTTTTGGATTGGAAGGTCTATACTAGTGGTTTCTAATACTTTTTGAAGGGCCAAATTGTTCTGAGAGCAGGCCGGCCTGTCACGCCAAAATTGGTCCGGGCTAAAATCGGTCCGGGGGACCGAATTTGGCCGCTAAAATTTGTCTGGGGGACCGATTTTGGCCGCCAAAATCAGTCCTCCTTTGATAATATTGATCCGGCCAGGACAAATTTTGGCTTAGCCAAAATCGTTCCGCCTACACCTAGACAGTGCTACACTATACGAGTTCGGTACTCAACCAATTACAGCACAGTGAGTGCCTAATTATCGGTCCGCATTGATTTTTTGAAGGAAAAACTTTTTGGTGGGAAAATTTAAAATGAGTGACCAATCAGTATAATTCTTGGCGTTCAATCTGAAGTCTATTTTGCATACATTACCTTAGTATTACCTCAGATCCTATATACAACAATATGCAACTATATACAATTTGTATATAGGATCTGTGGTAACAGAGATGTATTTCAGAGAATCACAGCTGACTTTATTTAATAGGAAAGAGGCTCTTTGGGTTTAGTATAAAAATTGGGGAACAGAAAAGGCCGACGTGCTAACTTCAATTTTACTGTCCGCATGTTCTGCTTTTTACTCTAATCATATTCTTAACTTACATATGTTCATTCTATGTATAATTGCTGTTTACTTTTGGATGTTTGAATAAAATACAATAGGCCTATATATACTAAACCCAAATACTGTACCGTACATGCCGATCTTAAACTGTTATATAGGGTGATGTATACGCGAATTCAGGCTTCAGCTATGGACATCATTGTGATTGGCTAGCATATATGCGCGTCTACAAAAGCTTAGGAATCGTTCTTTCCGCCAAGATCTACTGCGGACGTAAGATGCCCAAGTGTGCTGAGCACAGCAAAGTAAATTTCCGGACTGATTTTGGCTTATGTGGACTACATTTGGCAAGTAATTATGAGGCCAAATACCGCCGGACCGATTTTTGTCCCGTACAGGTAAAATATGTAACACTATATATACCGGTATGAGTTACAAATTTGAAATTAAATTTTATGTCAATGTATGTAATGGTTTCGGACATACTGTATATAATATTTAATAAATACATACATACATAATATATACATTGTCATGGAGGAATGCTATTCCTCTATGTTCACTAACCGCGTAGGCTCTACTATCATGGAGGTACCTCCATGCTACTATCAACTGAACCCAAATACTGTACATGCCGATCTTAAACTGTTATATAGGGTGATGCATGCAAATTCAGGCTTCAGCTATCATGGACATCATTGTGATTGGCTAGATAAGCATATGCACGTCTGCAAAAGCTTAGGAATCGTTCTTTCCGCCAAAATCTATTGCGGACGCAAGATACCCAAGTGTGCTGAGCACAGCAAAGTAAATTTCAGCGGACTGATTTTGGCTTATGTGGACTACATTTGGCAAGTAATTATTGTAATATTCACGGATACTTATGTAAGAACAATGGCGCCACCTATTGGAATAAAAGGGATCAACACACAGGATGTGAGTGAAGAGTACTTTATTATAATGGCAACGACGGAAAATTCAGAATAGAGACCTCCATCAACACTAGCAGTCTTGAGTCTTGAGTTTTTGAGTTAAATACTCATTAAAAATCTTGCTTGTCCTAGGAGGTTTCGTGCTGTGGAGTGTGCTGTTTGGTGCTCGCAAAACCAGTCAGTGTAAGTTAATTTACAAGTGATTTAAGAGTGCAAGTAAAATTTGAAAACATTTCGATCGCTAAAACTGTTTGTGGGATGCTGTAAGAAGCAACTCCCTCAGTACTGGCAATGCCAAAGTTTGAAATTGGGTAAGTGTTGGTGCTGTTACTACTTGTATTGGTAACCTGTTCCACGTAGATATTGTGCCCACAAAGAAGGAATATCTATAGTTGTCGACTCTTGTTTGTATGTTCTGATAGGCCAGGATGTTTGATGTTCTACTTTGACGAACAGCTGGAATAAAGCAAGATGGGAATGGAATATTTACAAGTTTGTTGTGAATCTTATAAAACATTGAACATTGATTTAAATGTCTCCTGGTAGCTAAAAAATCCCACTTAAGCTGCTCGGGCATCTGGGTAACACTTGATGTTCGACTGTAGTTGTTAAAAACAAATCTCGCCGCTTGCCGTTGCACAGCCTCAAGATGTGGGTTCCAGGCTGCCGAGGAGTATTCTAAATTTGGTCTCACTAGAGCTTGGTAGGCACGGGTTTTAACTTTGGGAGAACATGACGATATATTTCTCCTAAGTACTCCAAGTGTACTACGTGCGCTTGAAGTGATTGTTTGGACATGATCCTTCTAGTTAAGGTGTTTATTGATGGTAACTCCCAGATACTTGTGTTTTGTGGTTTCCTCAATGCATTGATTCTTAGCTATGTATGTATGTTTCCACGGTTTTGTTTTACGAGTGATTGAGATGGATCTACACTTGGCTGCAATAAAGCACATTTGCCATTGGTCAGCCCACTGAAGAACTCTATTCAGATCACCTTGAAGCTGTTCTTGATCATTTATATTTTTAATTTCTCTATAAAGGATGCTGTCATCAGCAAACAAACGGAGGGAGCAATTTACATTGGTTACTATGTCATTTATATAGACCAAAAAGAGGGTTGGACCCAAGACGGACCCTTGTGGTACTCCAGATGTCACGGGGGACCAACTTGAAAGAGTACCATTAACCACTACACATTGCTCTCGTCCAGCCAGAAAGCCTTCAACCCAGCTAAGAGTTTTGCCTCTTATACCATAATATTTGAGTTTTGTTGCCAATCTGGATTGTGGTACTTTGTCAAATGCCTTGCTAAAATCTAGCAGTAAAACATCTGTCTGCCCTCCCCGGTTTAAGACCTCGGACCAGTCTTGAGTTGCCTGAATGAGTTGAGTTTCACATGACAGTTTTTCACAAAAACCATGCTGCTCACTGATAATGATGTTTTGCTGTGTGAGATAGTATGATATGCTCCATAATTGTTTACATGAGATGCGCGTGAGACTGACAGGACAGTAGTTTATTGGTTGTGATTTGGAGCCCTTCTTATAATTTCCAGTAACCAACGCTTTTTTCCAGTCTCCTGGAAGTAATCCTGTGTGGTATGATTGCTTGAGTATAAAATGCAATATTGGACCAATTTCAGATGCGTATTCTTGTAAGAATCGTGCGGGTATATTATCTGTTGTTACATTTGAGTTGTTTGAGCTGGGTAATTACACCATATAAACCTATGTCCAAGTCTAGTATATCTTGGTATGCTGAGTTTCCCAAATCTGGTATGTTTCCCGTATTTTCGTCTGTGAAAACAGATGAAAACTGATCATTTAGAGATTGCTCAATCTCCTTGTCTGTAGTATATATTTTGTTGTTTACAGTCAGCGGACAAAGGATCACACAGATAGCTTCGAAAATCTGAAAGAAATACTTACTGGCGATACAGTGATGGCCTACTTCGATCCTGCAAAACAAACTGAGATGTATACAGACGCAAGTCCAGTTGGCTTATCAGCAATCCTGGTGCAGAGAGACATACATGATCAAGAAAAGACCATATCATCGCATATGGCAGCAGAGCGCTGTCAGACACAGAAAGCAGATACTCTCAGACAGAACGAGAAGCTCTCGCAATAGTATGGGGAGCGGAACATTTCCATTTATACTTGTTTGGAAATCTCATTGTGGTTTATACTGACCACAAACCACTCGAACGTATTTGGAAAAAACCCAAAGTAAAGGCAGGAACGAGAGTCGAGATTAAATATAGACCGGGGAGTCAGAATCCAGCAGATTACCTCTCTCGCCATCCCATGCAAATAAAAGATGGATGTAACACAAGAAGCTGAAAAGTAGCTGACGAATATGTCAACTTCATAGTCAACCACACAATACCTAAAGCGATGAGCAAAGAAGAAATTAAGCAGGCGACTGAAAATGATCCAATGCTGCAGTGGGTGACAGAAAGAATAAAAGATGGAAAATGGTCACAGAACGCAATGGATGAGAAAGGCAACTCACCGATAAAAAGAGCTTACTATCATGTCCATGATGAATTGACTTTATGCCCAGAAAATAAGGTCATACTACGTTGGACAAGAATGGTTATACCAGAGTCACTGCAAAAGAAAGCACTTTCCATAGCACACGAGGGACATCAAGGAGTAGTGAAGACTAAAAGCCTATTCAGAGAGAAGATATGGTTCCCTGGAATAGACAGGCAAGTCGAAGATATGATCAAAGAGTGCGCAGCATGTGAAGTGACCGTACCAGCCCAAAAATTTGAGCCATTAAATATGTCCACATTACCAAATGATGGACAATGGACAGAGCTCAGCATAGATTTTAGTGGTCCATTTCCAAATGGCTATTACTTAATGGTCGTAACAGATGATTATACCAGATACCCAGTGACAGAAACTATAACATCAACCTCAGTGACAGAAATTATAACATCAACCTCTGCAAAAACAGTAATATTCCCAAGCTGGCCAATATTCTGTCAATGTTTGGGATTCCAAAGGTAATCAGAAGTGATAATGGCCCACCATTCCATAGTGAGGACACAGGAAAATCACGCTATTATGGCCAAGAGCAAACGGAGAAGCCGAACGTTTCATGCGCACCTTAAAAAAGGCAATCGCAACGGCCAAAGAAGATGGATTACCGTGGGAACAGGGACTTAGTAGGTTTCTCATGAACTACAGAGCGATACCACATACCAGCACAGGAAAGGCACCGGCTGAACTACTGTTCGGTAGAAAATTCAATGTAAAACTACCAAGTAGAGACCAAAAACCTCAAATCGATGAGCACATAGTGACTAAAAATAAGCAGTCCAAAACAAAAATGAAAATGTATGGAGACAGAACATTACATACAAAGAAAGCAAACATGACGATTGGAGATGTTGTACTGGTAACACAGAAAAAAAAACAAGCTGACCACTCCGTATGACAATCGACCATATACAATAATCAAAACTAAAGGATCCATGATAACAGCAAGAAGAGGGGATGGTAAATTGATAACAAGAAATTCTTCCCATTTTAAACCAACCAGATCACACTTTAAACCATATACTGATAACAATGAAGAAGACGACTACTTTGATACATTTGAAAACGACTACAACCCACCAATGCATGTAAACCCACATCGTCCAATGAACCGAGGAACACGTTATCCTATTCGAGAGAACAGGCGTAAACCAACGTACCTAAAGGACTATGAACATTAATAATGCATTCTTTCACTTTACTTAGACAACAGAATTGCATTGTAGAAATAGGGCAGAATAAACCCCTAGCATTGCTGTAAGGCAAGGTAGTCCACCCTTAGCCTTTGTTCGGACAAGGAAAAATTTGTTATATTTTGTTTAAAAGTAATTTTATGACAGTTATATGATATTTTAAAAGTTAAAAGTATTTTTATCATGTTAATGTGTTTGCAACCAGTAAAATAAACGAAAATATATAACAATCTGTTCAACTCATACAACGACAAAAGAAGCATAACCGATAATTGTATCTAACTTCATAATTTTAATAATCAGTAACGCATATTGAAATTTAAACACATATATATATCAATATCCAAAATTAAGGAGGGATGTAATATTCACAGAGACTTATGTAAGAACAATGGCGTCACCTATTGGAATAAAAGGGATCAACACACAGGATGAGTGAAGAGTACTTTATTATAATTAGGAGGCCAAGATCAGTCCACCGGACCGATTTTTGCCACGGACCAAATTTTTCCTGACAGGCCAATGATAATCTCCGCCGAGTTGACAGAAACGAGTTCACTGAAAACGCTTCACTGTACACTTCAACCCATTAAACCAATCTTTTCTCACAAAATCGCCTCTATAATTTGGACTAATATTTTAAGTTTTTATATATTTATATAATCAATGCAAAATTGAGTGATTATTTTTTTTTCGAAGTTGAAAACATCTTATTATTTTGTATAGGAAAAAGGCTAAAATTAGAATGTTTTTTTTTGTTATACTAACTGCTTCTGATTGACATAACTCGTCAACCATAGGCCGCCGAACTTTAGGGTAAACGGTTAAGTGTAGATCACAAATTAATCTTTATTGTCATTGCTTAAGAAACCAGTGATAATTTTTTTTGACATCTCGGTGAAACACTTTCCGTTAAAATAAGTGTACTTGGAAGGTTTTCCGGCAATTAAAAGTTATACATTTAACTGTAGTACACTGCGTGCTCTTTATGAGTGACACATTGAGACACTGTTTGCCACACGTCTAACAGGTACAGAATGACTGTTCACCTTTTTGGTGCTACCTCATCACTTCCCTGTACGAAGTTGCTTTACAGTAGACAGCAACAACAATACATGACCTCTACATGAATGATTGTTTACGGTCAATGGAAACTACAAAAATGCACTTATCTGATACAAAATTTGAAAGCAGTAATGCTAGAAGGGTGGATTTAATCTCACTAAATGGGTTTGCAATGATAAAGTTCTAGATATATTCCAAAGGAGGATAGGACCAATGATAGGAATGAAATGATTTATTTCAATTCTCAAACAACAGAACGAGCTTTGGGTCGTAGATGTGTGTTGAAAGGGACTCATTCGAATTTAAGGTTGGCAAGATAAAGATATAATGAGTGAGCATTTAAAATGGTGTAAAGGATGTCAGCAGATTCATCAACTTGAAACTTTTAACATATCTAGATGTTATTTACCACTTGGGAGTTGGTAACATAGTTAATAGACAAATCCATACATTCTCTTACGGCAATGGTGAAGGATATGGTTGTGTTAGTTACCTTCGACAAATAAAAAAAAAATAAATAAAATAAAATTCATAGATCTTTGTTGATAGGAGCCCATTTTGCTCCAAGAAGGCAGTGTAAACCTAATCCAGTATTGTTAAAATGAGATATTAAGAGTTGGTGGTCGTCTTCATATGTAACATTCCTCATAATACGAAACAACCAATCATCATACCCAAGAACTGAATTGTTGTTAATTTTATACTACAAGAAATTCATATAACATGTGGACGTAGTGGAAGAAACCTAACGTTAGCAAAATTAAGGGAGAAATTCTAGATCCAAGGAGCAATTGCAGCTTGTGGGATTGTAAACAGATGCGTGACGAGTAGGCGTTATCGTGGACGATTTATGAAACAGACGTTTTCTAAAGAGAAATATTTTAGATGAGAGTTTTTTGTCAGTAGAGAAGTTCTTAGACAAAGCTTACAACAGTTTCATGCAAACATAATAATGCTCCAACGGTGTAAGTTTATAGTAAAGAGAAACAAATAAGTTGTACTACATCTACTATACAATACTGTACTATACTGGTAGCAAAGCAGAAACAAAAATTAGAAATGAAGTGTTCTGCAAATATTATAATTTAAGAGGTCCATTAGAGTCTCGCATTGAGAATAAATAAAGAGCGCATGTCATAATTAGGCGAGGCCAAAGGAGTTGCTGTGGGATATTCTTATTTGCTATTACAGTAGTTAATTATGCTGAGTTACTACTTCTACGTCTATAGTACTTCTAGATAGCCAAGAATGGCATTATCAGACTCAAAATGTAAGTAATATGTCATTTTTAATCCCCATTTATTTAAAATTTTGTAAAATTTAGAGACCTCCCTTCTGCTTTTTCAAAATTTAATATCCAGTTCAAAGCAACACAAAACAAAACTTACAAACAAAATTCGTTACCTGAGGACTGCAACTATCAAGTGGCACTCCTATTACTAAACATTTTTACATAAATATACATAAAAAGAAAACAAATATAACAGCCTCTAACAAATCAGCAATAAAATATTGTGATTAAAATATAATGCCATATAATGCTATGTGCCAAAAGTAGTTCATTATTGGTAAGGCACATAATTACTAGCAGTAAGAGGACACTTTCTGAGTGTGCAAAATGGTCAAATATCCCTATAAGGAGACACCTAATTTTTTTTTATCATTGTATCACGTCACAACATTACAATAGTCTCAAAGTAAGAAAAATTCATTTAACTTCATATTTAAGCAATAAACCAGCAGTTTCTCTCCTGAATCTTTAGAGTAAACGTCGGAATAGGCCTACTGAATGTTTTTCTTCATATAAACCAATTTTTTTTAAATTTTGACCCTTAACCATGAGGATGCGTTTCAAAAATTGGTTTTCGTGTACTTTCATATAATATTCTAATATACTCTGACATCCACCATTAATTCTAAGTCGTTACTCTATTTATGCTACAATCATCCAATAGTAAGCTCAATATTTTACATAAAAAAAGGAATATTTGGTCATTAACATTGCATCATGAAATAATATTTGGAACATTTTAATATTAATATTTTATTATTTATACCATTTGTACAGTGCCTTTTCTTTGTAGATATAAAGCGCTTCTTTTTTGCTTACCATTGAGTCTTAATGTTTTAAGTGTTGCTGCTGGTAAACATCGCAGGAGTAGGCAACCCCACCAGGTACCCATTTATACTCCAGGGTGGAGAGAACCTATGCAGTGATGGTTTGATGAAATTGGGAGATCATAACATGTATCAAACAGGTCTGTATGGCCTACCTACTGCACCAAACCACTTTTAAAACATTTAAAAATTGTTGTTTTAATTAAATTTGTGCTGATTTAATATTATAAATGAATTGTATTTGCATTGAAAATTGTTGCTACAAATATGTTCTAATTCTACTTAGCTGATTCTTAAGTCAATAAAAATAAAATTACACAAAATGTATGTTATTGTTGTATGAAAACATGCCAAAAACTCCTATTAAGGGGACAATTTTGCGTTTTTGGTTAGTGTCCCCTGAATAGGGGTACCCCTATTCATGGAACACACCTATTAATGGGACACTTTTTTGGTCCCGAAGTGTCCTCATAATAGGGGTTCTACTGTATTTGATATGCCAGCAATTTCGCTTTAACGAGTCCTAACATCCTATTAGCTTTAAAATAAATATGTTTAATATGTTAATTAAAATAAAACTCGATAATTATATCAAGATCACAACGAGAATTTATATTGTCTAAAATATAATTACTAATACTATAAAAAGATTTTTCTTCTTATAAATACAAATGTTTAAAACTTTACATCTACTTAAACTAAGTTCCATGTGCCAAGCCAATTATTGCACCATGAATTAAGTTTATGTAGATCATCTTGTAAAAGGAGTGAATAGTGCATATGAGATATTAATCTAATTAATTTCAAATCATCAGCATAGAGTAAACAATGTGAATTCGAAGGTACTGGTAAGTCATTTATGACAAGGATAGAAAACAAAGGTCCTAAATTTGTTCCCTGTGGGAACCTAGTTGATCTCACATTGAGCCAATCTGATATACTACCATCAATTGAAATCTTTTGTTTTAGATTGTATATGTAGTTGCGCAAAGTTTTAAAATATTTCCAGTAAAACCAAATTTAGAAAGTTCATAAATGTAGAGTTTGTGGTCGACTCTGTCAAAAGCCTTTGCAAAATCAGTGTAGGCCTACTCTCTTATTGTAAAAAAGAGAATTTTCACTCAAAAAGAGTGACTACCGGGACCACTTCAACTCCATTCTTCCTTGCGTGAAAATTTACTCTTAAATGAGTGAATATTATTTTTAAAATAGTGAAAAATTACTAAAATTTACTCAGAATAGCGTGGAATCTCATTATTTTTTACCCATTCCATCAGGAGTGCTCCTTGTAGGCACTCTTTCACTCTTTTTCCACTCGTTTGCATTTAGAGAGTAAATGACATCACATTGAGTTTTATTGAGCTTTACTGTCATGCTTGATATATTTGGAATGAAGCTATGCTGAGCTGGTTTTCTCTATTATTGTGTGTTCTCGTAGTGAACCATGTTGTTATTTGTAATAATGTAACTTTCGTCCTCCTCTTCACTGATGCCATGTAGTTGACATATACCATTACCAAATTGAACGGATACGCATAATGGATCCCTCAAGCAGTGCAGCCCGCATTGGATGACGGAATGCGTATGATGCTTAGCTATCATCACGTAATTCTTTGATTGACTTTTATGTTTATGGACCATCGTACGAAATCGGAACTTCAAATCTACATATAAGGATATTAAGATCTAGTTAGTAAATCTGTACCTCTATCCTCGGAAAATTCAGTAATTCAATCAATCATTCCAACCAACCAATCAGTTGAATTAATTAATCAGTAGTAAAATCTTTCTCTTGAACTTGATGAATGATAAATAAACCAATTAAAGGAAGGAAAAGAGAAGAAAAACTATAGATATAGGTGGATTTAATAATTTTGAACATTAAAAGGCATTTAAATAAGTATAATTTCACATTCGACAGCAAGAAAATTACAATAGGGGATGAAAAAATTAAATTTTGTACAGTACTTTAATAAATTTGGTTTTTATGACTTGTGTTAAATATGGTTACTTTATGATAAAGTGGTTTTAATGAGTTACAAAATATAAGGCCAACAACAAAGATGGTGTGTGAACGAGACTGTCTGCTCTCATTGATTAGTGCATTTGTGTTCTTATGAAAGGTATTAGCAATTGATAGAGGTGAGGAAGAATGAACCGAAACATAACAAATCACTGTACATGTTAGGTACATACTTCTTTATATGAATAGTGTTGTGAAGTTGATTCTTATACATCTACAGCAATACGTTTAATCATTAGGCTTCTGTAATTACTAACCTTGAACCTTTATTGTAAACGTACAATTGTTAGTATTCCCTGACGAGTCCGTTACCGTAAAAGTAAAAGGGTTTGATCCAATCTCAAGAATGGCTGGAAACAATGTTGTAGGATCAGGCGAAATGTTGGGGACAGTTCCCGAGTTGTCACTTGCATTTATTGATTTTGAATAGTCTACCAATGCAGTGTCAGTACAGATGTATGTAATGTCAACTGTTGTGTCAAACGGACATGTCAGTGTTGGATTTTCGGTATCTGTAGGACACAAAAGGGATTTTTTTACTATTTATAATCCTACTTTCAATTGATTTTGGACTGATGTCCCAGGAAATAATAAAATAAAATAAAATAATGATAAATAATAATAATAATAAATAATAATAATAATAATAATAATAATAATAATAATAATAATAATTTTACTTGAAATTTGATTATTATTTCTGATGTCTTCATGGTTATACAAACACATATTGTAAACACAGGACACATGGAAAAGACAGCAAACAATTTTAATTTTGGTTCGCCAACAATTTGTCAGAATTCCTTGAAAGGGAAAATACCTTATTGTTCATTACACAACAGTAATAATACCGTGCACCATTAGACACCAACTCATCCCCGACTAAATACTCGACCAACAATCATAGACGACTCTCAAGATATAACGTTAAAACATGATAAATATGATTCATAGCAATGTAGGTAATACTTTCATTAATATGTATCTAATATCAACTAGTTTCCTTTGATCGAATTTAGGGATTAGGGAGTTTAAAAATTCTATCATACAGCTCATTCTAAATCTTTGTTTCATGGGTGGCGCCTGATGGAGGGTGCCCGGGTTGGGGGTTGGCGGGTGCTGGTCCCTGTCGGAATGAGTTGATCCATGTCAGGGAGGAAAACCACAATTCGTCGGGGAAAGAAAAAATGTATTTTCTACATATTAGTAGACCCTAAAATCAATTAATAAGTCATTATTGTCATATTATTCGGATATCAGACCACTGTCGGGGACGTCGAGGCCCTGTCGGAGGAAATCGGCACCCGTCGCAGACATCGAGCACCCCCTCCGTTGAAGACATCGGACCCCGTACGTACCATGAACGATTGATCAGGTAGAACATCACCGTTGCTGAAACATTACTGTGTGCATGACATTGAAATAAAATTCAAATATTTTTTAAACTTCAACGTTGCTGAAATACTACGGTAACACATATTATTCAGTTTTTAAAAAATAAATAGCGAAATACTGTCATATCTGTGTATGCACAATATAATAGTTTGTCATTGTATTTTTGAGAATGAATACATAATCGTCATTGCGCATTGCGGTGCTGCGCATGTCCTTCGTTTTGGCATATTTGACATGTTTGGGTTCGGCCCTTGTTAGTCTATTGTAAGGCGGGTGTAGGCCCAACCAGCGGTGCCGCCAGAAATTTGCCGAAAAGGAGTGAATGAAGGGGTTCAAACCCAGGGGCCAACGGAGCCTCGGTCGACGACCTGGAATTCCTGGTAGGGTTCACAGGAAGAGTTTTATGGCTTAGTATGGTCCAAATTGTGCGCTTACCGCAATATTAGGGATTGGCAATCAAACTAATGTTATTTTAATAGGAATTTTTATTTTAATTTTTGATCCGACGACCTAGTCGTGCGTTGGACGACAATAGGCCCAGAAACGTCGGACGCGGAAGGAGGGGGGGGGGGCAATGATTTTTTTTAACTGCTTCCCCTGCAATGTTAACACATTTAATCATTCATTTATTCAATTTAATAATCAACTGTACAGACATAAAATTCAAGAAGGAACAAGGACAAAATTCGATAAAAAAAAAACAAAAACAAAACACGTTTAAATCTAGAAAAAAGTATTAGGAAAAAGGTTAACATGATTAAGAGAGCAAGATTAAAACAAGAATAAAACAGGAGGTTTCCCCTAACTTTTTCCCCACGCCCCAAACTTTGTTGGTTTTCTATTAAAAGAAAAGAAGAAAAACCCTTAGTTGACATTTTGCGTCAGGCTCAATTTTTTCTTACAGTATTTTGTTCTTAATTTTTAAGCAATTTCAACCTCAGTGTTCTTATAAAATGTGTTCTTATAAAAAAAAGTGTACCCTACCTACGATTATTAAAGTTAATCGTGGACACAGTAAATGCACAACTTTCACCACCACATTTATCTAGGAGTTGTCTTGGTGAAATACGGTAACCTGAACGTTAGGGGCCTAGGCCTAATAATAATAATAATAATAATAATAATAATAATAATAATAATAATAATAATAATAATAATAATAGTAATAAAACTTTGATGGTGTAGTCCAATATTATATGCATTTCCGCACTTCTATGTCTTTTTTTTTTTTTTTTTTTACAACAATACGTTTATTTTTAAAGTATATATACCGTCACCAACCTTGAACGGTAACTGTAAATGTGCAAGTATTAGTATTTGCCGACGAGTCTGTGGCCGTAAAAGTAAAAGGTTGAGCGCCAATTCCAAGACTAACTGGAAATACTGATAGGGGATCAGGCGAGATGGTGGGGAGAGCAGCTGAGTTGTCACTTGCAGTTACTGTACTTGAATAATCAATTGACACCGTTGCAGCACCTATGTCAGTATTCAAAATGACATCTGATGGACATGTCATTGTGGGTTGTTCGGTATCTGTGACATATATAATACAGAAAAAGTAACAATAACAACTAGACTTATTATGTATGTTTGTACAACAGCACATGGGGCTATTTATCATTGTCACAATGAGAAGTGATGTTGAAATTGCAACAAAAAGTCATTAAAGAGTATAAAGTAAATAACATGAAAAACAAAAATACTAAATATTCTTAAAGAAAATTATAAAGTAAAAAGGAAACAATGAAAACCAATTTCACGACTAACGCGACATTAGTGAGACTCAAACGACAGCTGCAATGGTAATAGAGAGGTACAAACTATTGCTTGCTACATGAGCTGACCCTGCGTAGGCCAGGGAATTTTTAGTAATTCACTGATTGAAAGCGTTTAATTGTTCATGCATATCACGGTAATTTTGCGTTTAACCTAGCTGCAGTTCATTTAAACGCTTTAGAAAACACGGATTACGTTTATATAGTTTAGTCAACTGTCCAATAAAATGTTTTAAATGGTCCCCATAACAACACCCTACTCCGGATCGTCACCAAAATGTAATCATTTCTTCATTGGACCATGACTATTCTGGAAAGTTTCGTTTAGATCCATTTATAAGTAATTAAAGGTATTTAGGTCTAGGACCTTAGTAGATTGTAATGACCCTGAAATTCGCACCCAAATCGGGATCGTCACTAAGGTTCATAGAATAATTCCTTGTAACATGGTTAAAGTTTCTAGAAAGTTTCATTCAGATTAGTTGATCAGTTTCTTTTAAATATCTGCTCTGGGACGTCTACCGTTACATGGTGCTCATATCCACACCCTACTCAGGATCGTCACAAAAATATCATTTCTGCACAAGACCCTGACAAACTATTATAAAATGATTCATTTAGATGCATTTATAGGTTTTTAGAGATATTTAGGTCAGGGATGTCAGCACCCTATTTGATCGTCACCAACACGTAATAATTTCTTCCTTGTAACTTGGTGAAACTTTCAGGTCAGTTGATCCGTTTATGAAATATCTGATCGGGAATGTTTTCTTTCGAATATTCCTCATATCTACACCCCACTCTGAATTGTCACAATATATAAGGAGGCACATCCTTCATACATGGTCTATGCTTCTACAAAGTATGGAAATTGACCAAAGTGCCGGTCAGAAAACCAGTGCTAAAAGATAGGAAAAATGATATGGAAGAAAAAAGAAGAAAAAATCAAAACGACAAAAACAATGGCTTTTCCAGCTACTGCTGGGAAAAGCCAAAAATATTCATGGTGAAGGCAAATATGATATTATTATATGCATCTAAACATTTATTTATTTGTTATGTAATAGGTTCAATCGGAAAGTATGCACCCTCACTAACCTTGAACGGTAATTGTAAACGTGCAAGTATTAGCATTCCCCGACAAGTCAGTGGCCGTAAAAGTAAAATCTTGAGCGCCAATTCCAAGACTAACTGGAAATACTGATGCAGGATCAGGCGAAATGGTTGGAAGAGCAGCTGAGTTGTCACTTGCAGTTACTGCACTAGAATAATCGGTCGACACCGTTGCAGCGCCCATGACAGTATTCAAAATGGCGTCAGATGGACACGTTAATATAGGTTGTTCTGTATCTGTGGTATACATTATTTCTATATAAATCGATCATATTTAGCGAAGATTATTATTTTAATTTACTGTATTTGATAACCCAGATATTGTAGATGTAGATTGTTAAAATGCTTGCCTTTGAATCTCAGGTTTCCGAGTTCAAGTCCTGTCAAGTGGCATTATTTTCTTCACAGTACCAACAAACTTCACTTAAGGAGCCTCATAACGAGACTTTCTTACCTCATGTGTATATGTTTGTCTTGTGTAGGCGATTGTTATACAGTATATAAATCACTGATATATTTTGCTATTTACCATTACTTGCTAATGTATTAAAATAGTTGTTGTGGTTGTAATGCAGTCTGTGACAGAGTGGGTGTTACTACAAATTTTCAGTTTTATTACACAAGTCGGCAGAGAAACAGTAGCAACACGATGAATAGCACTCAATAAATTGTTCTAAATGTAAACCGAGTGACAGCCTTTGACTTTTCAGAATATTTGAAACATATTTCTATATATCATACATTATAATAATGGTCACAAGCAAAGAATCTACCAATGTACCAAGACATTTATTACTATTAACGGCACTTTCGATTACAAAGATATTTCTACCTGGACATCCAAGAACTTCAAATCTCAGACTGATGTGTTCATTCCAATCGGTTGGATGGATACGGATGTATCGAGCGAAGACTCCAGTATGGAACATGTTTGTCACAGCAGTGTTTTGATCTGAGTTTCCAGTAAACACCTTATAAGATAACAGTGTTATCATTATAGATATGTATTGTATATATTTCTGGCTGTTTAATTTATTTTACGTTCTCTTGCTTAACAAATATAAATCTTTATCTTCATTACATACTTAATCGTCCTTTCCCTTCCTCTTTATCCATGGTCCTTTTATTATATCATTTGGCACGGTTTAATTGACGTTCATTTACGAAACCACATGTCACAATTGTTCAACACTACCTTAAAACAAGATTGCCTGCTTGTAATCTCTACAATAATGATGAAAACGATAATGTTACTAATTATCCAAAATAACAATATTAATGCTAAACAATGATAATATAAACTTACCGCAGTTTGACCACTCCCTTCCGTTACTGGTTGAAAGTTGGTATTATCAACACTGTGATGAACTTCGTACGATGTCACCCATTCATTCCAGTCATTGCTTCCTTGTGTTATTACTCCAGTGACTTCATTCAGTATACCAAGATCGGCTTGAATCCACGGATTACTGTCATTGGCCTTTGCTGACCATCCTCCATATCCAGCATTTTCTTCTTCTGCGTTGAGTCGCCCACGATCAGCCCCATACCACGTATGATCATTATATACACTGGAAACTGTAAGTTGGTCGGAAGGAATGGTTCCATCTTCCACACCAAGAGGATCGATGCAAGCACCTACAGTAGCAAGATAAAATGTATATTGTATGTGTGTGACAAGATTTTCTGTCAATAATAATATATTTGCTCATCCAATGTCAGAGGTTTTTATATTTTTACTAGGGTCCGAAATTTTGGAATAAACTGTTAATTTAAAAATACCATACACCCCACGGTCTTAAATTCAGTCTGAAAAGTCTTATCATCTATTGCCGTTCACTTTCTTAAACACTACTGCATGTGATTTTGAATAGTTTCACTTTTACAATTGCCATTATATTATTCCACCGCTTCATAACTTTCAATCAGGATTTCATATATTGGTGTACTTGTGTGAGCGACCACTTTCTTTTGACCTAGGGTGGTCGCTTACGGTTTTACGCAGCAAACCCAATTTCAATGTATATACACCGTATTTATTCGAATAAATGCCCCAGGGCGTTTATTGTTGAGAAGGGTTTTTTGAAGGGTCATTTATTAGAGAAATGCATGTATTCAAGGAGGACGTTCATTTTTTTGGAATAAAATGGATACATATATACTCGAATAAACGCCCCTTAATTTTACTGTAAACGTAGAACTACAACATATAATTGCCGTCAAAACATGTTACTGTGTGATCATAATGACTTATTGATTGAAACCAGGTTAGAAAAATGTAAGAGTAGGACAATAATAAAAAGTGTTGAGAATGATTTCACTTCCATAAGATTTGTTTACAGTCATTTAAAGGGACGTTTATTTACGAAAACTATAAACGCCCAGGCGCGTTTATTCCGAATGAGGTGCCAAAGGGGGATTTATTCGGGAGGGAGGGGCGTTTATTCAAAGCAGAGCGTTTATTCGTATAAATACGGTATATATAAATGAATATATAGTTGATAATGCTAGCAACGTACAGTGCTGGAATTGTTATTTTACCAAGTTTAGGAATGATTTTTCGAGTTCCCGTGTGGCAACATCTTGCACAAGCTGTTCAGCAAAAACCACGTCCAAGTCAACAAGCTGCTCCAGGAACATGGGCTGTATAATCAAAGCCAACAACAAACAACTTCTGGTTGCTAAGCAACAAAAGTCAAATAAACTATGCAATTGGCAAAAAAGAAAATGAATGCCCACTTTCGAAAAGATTGACTCATTTTCTCTGATATCTACAACCACAGTCAACTTAAACGATGGCAAAGCATACTACATCGAGCTCACAGAAACACTGTTTAAATAAAAAATTAAGTTTTCAAAACCCCAAACACTAAAAGTGTAACCGAACTCTCTAAATACGTATGGAAATTAAGACAACAGCACCCCTACATTAGCAAATGGTCGATCATTGACAGAGCATCGGCCTGTCAACTCCACAAACACAAAACGCTGCAACCTATGCACAGCCTAGAAACTTCATATTATTCCATTCAGACAAACAGCAATATCAAACAAATTAAGAACCAACTATTGCCTAAATATAATATGCAGGAACAACAAGAAATGCCTACTTAATAACAATTAACGAATTCGAAATTGCATATTCAAGTGCCATAACGTATTATATATATTTATAACATATATTATATATAATATATGAATATATCTTTTATAGTTACTATACCTGCAGATTGCCCATCCGACGGGATTTCTGGTTCATTACACAAGTCAGTAGAGCAACAGTAACTACACAGTGACGGACTCGTAGCCGGATGACATCGGTCTGCATTTCTCGCTTCCTCATTAAAACACGTACTACTATCCTTACATGATTTCATTATTTGGTGGTTTCCATTATTATCACGTATTTCGTTTTTACATACCTGGAATACGCAAAATTGCAAACCATACTAAGTGCTATTGTTTACTACAAAGGTTAAGTATAAAATATTGTTTGAAGGTTTGCATGGCGAAGTAATAGCCCCATATATAAGAAGCCTATTAAATGCTTGTGATACACCATGCGGATACATGTGAAAAGAATTGTTGTGGGAATGCCTTGACGTTTTGATTGAGTTGTTTCAATCGTGAACAGGAGGTCAAGTGATAGAATCACAATAAGCCAATTCATACCAAGGTCAATCAACATAAACACAATACACAACATATAAATATAATTATATATATAATATATAATAATAATATATAATTATATATATAATATATAATAATAATATATAATTATATATATAATAATATAATTATATAATATATGTGTGGCTTCGAATGGCTAATAAACAATTGGGTCTCCGCCCCTCTTATTATACGTGTGCGTTCAACATATTTTGAGACGGCCCGCACGCGAAATTTCGCGGCCCGCACTGGACAAATGCAGGGGTCGCTAAAAGCATATTGACTTTCGTAATCCCAAACCCTGGTCTATGCTGTTTGAACAGCTGTGTCGGAACAAACGTGAGACAATTACGAGACACTATCAAGTCTCTAATATCAATATATAACAACGAGGACACTCTCCCCAATGTGACTAATGCCAACAATAAAACTGTCTTCAATGTTAACATCTTTAATGGAAGTTCATCCTAATGCAGCAGTGACCGTAAAAAAGACAGTACATGATCAACGTCCCAAGTGTGCAGATACCGAGGGCGTGGAGGATTCCGATTGAAAAAATCCTTCATTAACTTACATATTTCAACCGCTTGCCCAACTGGCTGGTTACTTGAGAAATATCAGATTACCTCCCCACTCCCCTCAGACTAGTTTTTTTTAAAGAAGAGGCTGTAGGTCAGGGGTAATGAGCCGGAAGTGTTTCTTTAATAACTGGTATACCGCCAGCGATTTTTTTTTCCGTACGAAACATTTGTATGAAACTTCACTCGGGCCATCTCGGATTGACTCGAGTGAGTACGATACGAGGAACAAGAGCAGACACTTCGCAGTGTCGTGACGCTCGAGTTTTACT